CCTGGTGTCCCTCGTGGGACAGGTGGCACTGCGGCAGGTGGCGTATTTGGAAGTGTCAGTGAGTGCAGAGCTACGCAGACGCCGCATCCTCACAGAGGAGGGGAAGACCAAGAAGCCACCTGGCAGCAGCATGAAGAAGCAGAGACCCCAGGTGAGAACTAAGAGGTTTTCTTCCTGTGGGCAGCTCTTCTAGTGTCCCAGCTACTGTCACAGCAAACTTCTGGAGAATGCACTCCTGAGGATCCATGAGGTCCAGGGTAGTGTGTGCCTTGGAAATAGAAATGGACAGGGGTCGGTCAGGATTGACAGGGAGAGCTGAGGTCCTTTTCAATGACCCTTTTCAATAAAATTCACACTGTTCTTGGGATTTGAACAGGCAGAGGGGAGGGAAGGAGGTGTGATATCCTGGCCGTGCTTATCTTCCCACTTCAGGCAAACGTTTCCTTTCCCCACTCATCACCTCCTTTCTTACTGGTGCAATCTACAATTGCTGCTAGTGGAGACGAACGCTCATTTGTGTCCTGAGGTTTGGAAAAGGCTTCTGGAACCTTGGTCTGTAGGGCTTGAGGGTCCTGTCCTCTCTCAGGTAGTAACAATGAAAGTTTATTAGTAACCTTCTTCATGGGATCCGTATGATGGAAATACCCTGTTTGCTTCGGTCTGCCTCGGAATGTTTTCCAGAGTGTAGTGAGGCTGACTTTCTTGGGTAAGAATGGAGTTTTTTCCCTACATATCCAGTCTGTATTAGATGCCTGCACTGCTATGTCTAGAGAAGTTTGTAGTTCATTCCCTCATCCACCCTGCTTATCAGTGTCACTACCGTTCCCCACGCAGGAGGAAGTCACCGTGACGTTTTCCGAGCAGCAGCAGTTGGATGCGGATTTGGTACTTGTGCAACACCCGTGTCTCTGTTCTTCCCTCGTGTTGCTCTTGCCTTGCTATAAGGTTTCCTGGAATCCTGCTCACAAGACCAGCAATTCAAAGGCCGCTTTGAACTTCTCGCTTTTAGGATTTGTGTCCCTTGAGTCGTGCCAGACTCAGGCATTGATGACAGATGTGTCCTACGTCTGTCTCGGCTTAGTAACCTCGGTAGCTTAGGCTTTCTTCTCACTCGTGTTCTGTGGCAAATCCTGGGCTGTCCTTCACATCTTCGTTCAATTCTCAGGGAAAAGTGGGTTATAAAACTCTCCAGCAGTCTGTTGCTCCCAACTCTAGTCATGCTGCTGGTAACACGCATGCACCTCTCACCCGAGAGAAGAGTACTTGGTGAAGAAAGGGTTTACTGTTGCCTGCCATCTTTTTTTACAGTCTTCCTTTCTGCACAGAGCACAGGAAACGAGACCACCACTATGGAGGAGGAGCTGGGCCTCGTGGGCGCCTCAGCTGACGACACGGAGGCTGAGCTCATCCGCAGTATTTGTGAGACGGAACTTCTAGATGGTGAGTGTGACTGCCACCAAGGAGCGCTGGCTCCACCTGCCTGTGTGAAGGAACAGGTGTGGTGGGTAACAGATCCAGGAGGAGGAAGGCTGTTTCCTTCAGAAGGAAACGCTGTCATTTTTGCCCGGTGTCAGTTCTCCACTCTGCCTCTCTCTGGAGGTGGTTTCTCAACGGTGACAGTGAGTCAGCCAGCTTCTGTAGTCTGCAGGAGTTCGGGGATAAATTGAGTCATTGTTCTTAAAGAGGGATGCACAAACAGTGCTCATGGAACTGCTGTCTCCATCCCTGCTCTATAGGGAAGCACCTGCTCTCTGCCTTCGTTCCACTGGTGCTCAAGATCTGCAACAACCCGGGGCTCTACAGTGACGCGGCGCTCTCGGCTGCTGCAGCCCTGACTCTTGGCAAAGTCTGCATGATCAGGTAATAGGTAGCTCCTAGAGCTGTGCCAGTCTTTTCTTCCCAGCCTTCCAAGTACTGAAGCATAAGAAATGTTGCAGCTCCTTTCCTGTGGAGAGAACAAACACAAAAGAGCGTTCATATTTTTATCTATTTATTCATTATTTTTCAAAAATTATTTTGTTTGTGTCTCTGAGAGATGGGACTTTGGTATCCACTCCTTGTTTTCCATACCCTGTCCTCTCAGCTCGGAGTTCTGTGACTCCCACTTGCGCCTGCTGTTCACCATGATGGAGAAGTCCACTCTGCCTGGTGTGAGAGCCAACCTCATTATTGCAGCAGGAGATTTGGCCATCCGTTTCCCCAACCTGGTGGAGCCTTGGACATCACATCTCTATGCCAGGTAATGCCACGCTCACTGCTGGGAGAGGACAGGTGATGAGAGGTCTGTGGAAGGGTGACAGTGGGCTTCTGGAAGATGGGAATGACCCAGGAAGTCAAATTTGAAGGTGTGAGTGCAGGGAGACAACAGACCTGGGCTGTGGAGTAGGCTGTCATGGGTATCCCTGACTTGGAGCTCCTCACTCAGCTGCTTTCTGCAGTAACTGTGTTTCTGTCAGGTTGCGGGACCCCTGCCCAAGCGTGAGGCAGACGGCTGGGCTGGTGATGACTCACCTCATCCTCAAAGACATGGTAAAGGTGAAGGGCCAAGTGAGCGAAATGGCAGCTCTGCTCATAGACCCAGAGGAGGCAATCATGGGAGTGGCTCAGAACTTTTTCAGTGAACTCTCCAACAAGGCAAGTGGATGCTCAGGGACCTTAGTTCACAAGAGTGGGGAAGGGCTGCTGGAGGCTGGGTCAATGACACAAGAGTTGAGTCCTGGAGAAGGTGTGTCAGTGGTGTGGAGCTGTCTGTTCCTCTTTGTTGCCTGCATGAGAGTAGACAAAGGAAATTTCACAACGTTGAGTTGTGTTTCAACCCTGATGTTGCTGAATTTGACCTCATCCATTTGCATTCGAAGGCAGGCTCCAAACCAGCACCATGTCCCTTTGCTTTCTCATGTGCATCTAGCACAGGGTGAGGAACAGTTTTCTGCAGTTTACGCCTTACAACAAAGTTCCCTGACCTGTGGCTCGGGCAGTGCATCATCTCTGAAACCTTTCAGAGTTTTTCTTGGCTGTGTGACGTTGTGCTACTGAAGTTGAAGCAGTTACAGCCCAAGATGATACTGGGGCTCTACTATCTTGGCTTGCTCTGCTAAAAGCAGAGCCAGCTACCTGACTGCACTGACTTCCCATCTCTGCAATGTCTGTGACAAAACCATGTAAAAACAGTGGGAAAGGGAATCTGGACTGGGCCTCCTCAGGTGAGATGGGAGGCAGTTCCTTGAGCTGAATTGCTGTGTAAGTTTCCTTTATCCAGGAAGTTTTTTTGTTGGGCTGTGACCAGGTTGGAAAGCAAAGAAACTGCATCCAAGTCTGCCAAAGAGCAGAGCTGTTGCAAACCAAGGGTTGCAGTTGTTGGTAGCTTGTTGGTTTGTTGGGTTTTTTTTTTCCCCCTTAGCTCCAGCCGAGTAGTCTCAGATGGGTTTGGCTGCCTGTGTGCAGCTCTTTTGAAAAAGCTGATGTTTTCAGGCAGTAGATTTGGGGTGGGGAGAAAGGAGGTAATTTTAAGTGGGCACCTTACTGGGCTTGACTGAAACTGTCCTTCATAATTCTCTGTCTCATGTAGAACTTTGTATCCCCCATAGGGTAACGCCATCTATAACCTGCTTCCAGACATGATCAGTCGTCTCTCGGATCCCAGCTGTGGCATAGAGGAGGAATCCTTCCGCACTATTATGAGGTATGCTGGGCTTAAAGAAATCTCTTTTTTGACCAGGACTACATTTATGGAAAGGAGGTGCCAGATCCAGGGAAGAGGAACTACCAGCGTCATCTACAAAATGCTTTTTCAGTTGTTCTCCTTGATGTGACTTTTTCAGTTGCATCTGACCTGGAGTCATGCTGAGGAGAATCGATTCCAAAGCCACGTAGTTGGGGGTGAGGAGAGATTCCACAAAGAGTTTCCACTGGCTCATTCAACATCACTTTCCCTCTAGAAAAGGGAAAGCAGTTAGGTTTGGGTATGGGAACGTGGATATGCAACGTTAGGAGAACAGAGCAGATTTTAAAGACTCTGCTCTTCCCATATCGTAGAAAAGCAGCTCGGTGTGGTGGTTGTACGCAGACCAAAGTTGGAACAAGGATGTGCTCAGAGCAGTTGTATCAAGGCCAGTGGCACCCTGACTGAGCTTAGGTTACCAGAAACGTCCGTGCAAGGAAAAGGGAGGCCAGCAGGACCTTCTTATAAACAGAAAGTACTCAGTGATTCCGTGAAGACATCATGCAAAACGCAGAAGTACTTGACCATGTTGAAGTCCATGTCTGTGTTCCTCAAGAAACTAAGAAAAATGGGGGATCGGGTGAGCGTTTAAGTTCTGTCAGGCTTTGTTGCCACTTCAGTGCAAAGTAACACTCACTTGCACATTGATCCAAAATCCAGCAACACACCTTCAGCAATCTAAGATGAAAAAAAGTCACAGGAACAGTTTTGAAGGGAAAAAAACAAAACAAACCACACACTACACGCCGCCCTGCCTCCCTCAAGATCTGCTTGTGGGACATAGATGGCTGGATAGGATGGCTGCAAGGGGAAATGGAGTTTCCTCTCTGGGCTCTCAGCTTTGCTTTTCTTTTCCCGTTGCAGACATCTCTTCTCCTATATTACAAAAGACAAACAGACAGAGAGCTTGGTGGAGAAACTTTGTCAGCGATTCCGGACTGCCAGGTGGGTCGTAATCCTCATTTTCCCGACAAGCAAGTCTGCTGCTTAGGAGCTGGTAGAAGAAACGAGCTTGTATAGGATGGTTGTGACGGGTCCCCGTCAGGTTCTTCATACGGAAGAGTGACAGGTGCTGGGATAACCTGGATTAGGTCCCCTTTCCCCTTTCCCCTTTCCCCTTTCCCCTTTCCCCTTTCCCCTTTCCCCTTTCCCCTTTCCCTCCAGGAGCCTTTAGGCTTCCATGGGTCTTGTTACACTGTGTTGGCCCCTCTCCCTTCCCTCCTTTCTTAGGGAAAACAGCTGGTGACAATTTAGATCCGCGTTACAGCGGAGCAAGGACACCCCCCCGTGTGGGTTTGATGCACCTTTGTGCTCCTTCTCCACAAGCCTTTCCCTTTCCCCTCAGCCAAGAAATCTGTGTCCAGCTGAGAAGTTGGGATCTCCCCAGCAGCCTTGCCTGGCTGATCCCAACTTTATCTAGTTGTTAGGGGCCTGTCCTTGTTCTGTGTGCACGGGCTGCACCCTACTAACTCTGTGCCTCGAACTCCACTTTCTTCTTCAAGGGCTTGTTCCACTTCACATTTGTGCCTTTGCTCCACTCTGTGCCTGATCACGGAGTAATAGTGCAGGATCTATCCCATGAATCTGGGATATCATTTTGCTTCCTGGGTTTTGGGGGGTTTTTTTGGTGTTGCTCCTTTCTCCAAGCTGTAACTTCACTGACACAGACATACACTGTTTTTTGCCCAAGAAGATAATAGAAATTTATCTGCCTCTGTCATGTGCTTTCGGTGGTATCTTCGTTTTTACTTTCCGCTGGATTTGGTGCACCCTGCCTTCCTCCATTCCCATGGGTTTCCTTCTCCATTGTTGTGGCTTTGCCCTTGAGGTCTGAGCTGTGTCTGCTTATCTTGGCCATTTGTACACAGTGCCTGGGCATGTGACCTGCTCAGCTGCCTCAGGGAGTTGCATATTCCCCAGAAATATTTGGATTTTGTTTCCTGAGCTGGAGCAGAGAGTGGCCCCTCTCTCCAAAACTGCCTCCCAGGAACACTGGTGAGCTCCCTACACCACATTCGTAAAGAACCATCTCCTTGTAAGCCACATCTAGCCTTTACTAACATTTCTGTGCCACAAAGACGATCAGTTTAGTGCACACTAATGCTGGAGCAAGACTCTCACTCCGTCCAGGCTAAAGCAGGAGCTTATCAGAAAAGATTTTGCAGCCACCAGCAGCCTCCACCACATTTCTGGAGCTCTAAACTCCGCCAGGTGTCATTCAGGCTTTAGATGTGGAAGCACCTGGATGCTGCAGCTTTGGTCTCCATCTGTCTGTGTTTGGACAGGGTGTTCTGAGAGGACATATGCAAGACAGACTTCCAGACCTTTGCTTTGTTGCTTTGGATATATTAATAACAGGGGCTTTGGCCCAGCTTTTTTTCCTCCTATTCTACAGAGAGCTATGTTAAGGATGTTAGTTTGCTTTTTTTTTTTTTCTCCAGTAACTTTTGCTGGAATTTGAACGTAGTCCTTCTTTGAAACAGCGTTGACCTGTAACAGAACAACCTGAATCTCATGTTCTGCAGGGCAGAAGGACCTGCAGGATACACTTTATCTCCATGTGCTCTAGTTCTAGGTAGGATGTGCTCATCCTTACACACCCCTTTTCATAAAAGCTAAGGGAATCTTTGTCCTTCCCAGAACCGAGCGTCAGTATCGGGATCTGTCCTTCTGCCTTACACTGCTTCCCCTCTCGGAACGGGGCCTTCACAAGCTGCAGGACAACTTTGAGTGCTTTGCAGACAAGCTCCAAGACCCAGCTGTCTACAGTTCTTTCCAAACTGTGCTGTCTCGATTCCGCAGAGCAGGTGGCAAACCTGAGACTAAAGTAAGGATGGGGGGAGCAAATGTCCAGGCCAGGAAAACAATTGCTTTTTTCCTTGGCCCCAACAATTTACCAGAGAACTTGATGGTGATTCAACTATGGATGTAATACTTCTCTCCCCCCTGCCCTGTTCTCTCTCTTCTTCCCCCTGCCCTCTTCTTTTTTTCCCCACTGTGTTACATCTGCATCAGGTTCTGGCTGAAGAGCTGGAGCAGAAGCTGTCTGCCTGCCATAACCGAGGGCTGGATTCAGCAGAGACGTGCCAGGAAGGCAGCAAAACTCCGATGCCAGAGATGGCCAAGCGGAAACCAACAGGAAGTATGTTTCTTTTATGAGACTGCAGCCTTTCCCCTGCTCCTGCAGTCCAGCAGAGACATCTAGAGACTTTTCCTCACCCTTACAGACAGAATAGCTGATACAGAAAAAAATTTCTGGGTTTTTTTGGTTGTTTTTTTTTTTTCTTGGCAGGTTCACGCCGCCAGCCCCTCAGCACGGCCAACAGGGATGAGGATTTCGTCACACCCCAGCCTCGAACCCTCCGAAACCACAAGCGTGCTCAAAAGCACCCTCTGCCCAAAAAAGCTGTTATCACCTTCTCCAGTGATGAGGAGAACAGCTCTGAGGACGGTAAGGCATTGCACACGTATGCTCAGAAGGTGAAAGTGAAGAAAGACTATAGATTTGGCCCATCAGGGATAATGGGCAGAAGGGAGAAGAGAAGGCTCTGGGGTGATCTTCCAGCAGCCTTCCAGTACCTAAAGGGGCTACAGGAAAGCTGGAGAGGGGCTTTGGACAAGGGTGTGTAGTGACAGGACAAAGGGCAATGGCTTTAAACTGAAAGAGGGGAGATTTCGATGAGATCTAAGGAAGAAATTCTTCCCTCTGAGGGTGGTGAGGCACTGGCACAGGTTGCCCAGAGAAGTCGTGGCTGCCCCATCCCTGGCAGTGTTCCAGGCCAGGTTGGATGAGGCTTTGGGCAACCTGGTGTAGTGGAGGGTGTCCCTGCCCACGGCAGGGGGGTTGGAACTGGATGATCTTTGAGGTCCCTTCCAACCCAAACCGTTCTATGGTTCTAAGGTGTGTGGGGCTTCCAGGCACTGCCTGAGCTGCCTTTAGATTTCTCTGCTCAAGGCATTGGGGTGCTGGTTATTGACACGTTTTACTCTCTTAGAGCTCTCGGCAGAACTAAAAGAGGAAGAAACCCCCACCAAAACAACCCCCATCACCAGATCTTCAGCCCGCCGGCTGCGCTGAGGGAGCCATCTGCCACCGGCTTTAACTAAAAATAAAACTTGTTTTATGCAGCAGTCGTCTTCTCTTGTCTGAACTACCCACAACATGACAGTGCTTTAACTGAGGATGAAATGGAAGTTACCCACCAGGCTAAAGCAATTCCAAGCCTGTCTTTTGAGATCCCCACAAAGAAGGGCAGTGATGAACGTAGCTGCCACTTGGGCTGGTTTTGCCCTGGCTTTGCAGATCGAAGTAAGCTGCTCTGATTAAAAAAAAAAACAAACAAACAAACAACAAACCAAACAAACTTTGGAAGAAAGTCTTCCTAAGAAGAGCCAAACTGACCACCAAGTACAAAAAAAAAAAGCTAGAGTGCTTCAACAGAGAATATGCAAAGTGAGTAGGAAAAAAAATTCAACTTCTAATGAGTTTTTGAAAATAGAAAACCAAAACAAAACAAAAAACCACAATTTTATAATTCTTTTTGCCTAACTCAAAGCTACCAGGTGTCCTGGTAACAGTGGTTGTCTCACTGCACTTTTTGGAATGTATTTGCTGTGAATCCAATTATGTTTCAAAATAAAACTGGCACTTAAGCTCTTTCCTTTTTTCCGCATCAGTGCTCAAGTCACTCCCGGCACTCCTTGGACTTCCATGTGAACACCAAGTGCCCTAAATCTGAGTTTGTGCTATTCACATACACAACCTTTGACCTGTCTCACAGGCAAATTGGCATTTGTCCCAGAGCTATTAGGACAGAATTATTTCCTCTTACCTGTCACTTGCCTAAAAAGCAGACTAGTGGCTAGCTGGGCAGGAATGGGAAGAGTCCTCCTGTCACCAGCTTCCTGCAGGTCTTCCACGTTCTCTGTCTCTGAGGATCTACCACGTTCCTGCAGTTGTGGTCACTCGGTTTGCCAGGAGGTAGATGCTGCTCCTTGGTTCTCCTCTGGCCCGGCTGCCGAAGCCGTGATAAAAGACTACTGTGGCTCATTTTGGTCCTTCTGAGAAAAAGGAGCATTAGAAATTTTATAGCTTTATATTGGCCTGAGAATATGTTTTTTTAATGCCAATACTCGCTTGGACATAAACATTGTTAGATGTTTGTGGAAACAAGCAGACGAGGGAACGATGGGGTGACAGGTGTATTTGCTGGACCAAACACCACCCTCGAGTCCCATGATCACTGGAATCACTGGAAAGATCAGCCTCCTCGCAGCCACTAGTGTAACAGCCAGATACCAATATATGCCCCCCGAAAAATCCAGTAAAAACAGGGCAATCACATGAAATACAAAGATGGGAAAGCTACAGCAGTGTTGTCTCCCTTGCCCATTGTCCCTGATAAAACATTCAGTGGAGGCCACAAGAGAGGGAGGCAGGGGCTAAGGCGTGAGCCGTAAACACGCCGCAGCCATGCGTGTCATTCCCTGTGTCCTTCCCTATGTCATTCCCTCTCCACCACCCACAGGGAACGTCACTCACACATGGGAATGAAAGAAAAAGGAGCAGCACATCTGGATTCCTACCCAGGCTCCAGGCTGTACAAACCTGGGCAGGAAATCGGGGTGTATGGGAGATAAGAAGTTGGCAATACTGCAGGGAAGGAGATAGGAACGGGTGGATGGAGGAAACAAGGTGGCCATAAAACCGTCTGGGCATTGCTTTACCTTCAGGCCACGCTTTGCCAGTACAAGTGGTTAAACTTTTTCCTTCAGGAGAGCAACTCAGGCACCTTTCTGAGATGGAAGGAAGGTTTGGCAGTCAATGACGCCACTCAAAAGCCAACCATGTCCCGGGCTGCACCCAGAGCAGCGTGGGCAGCAGGGCGAGGGAGGGGATTCTGCCCCTCTGCTCTGCTCTCCTGAGACCCCACCTGGTGTACTTCATTCAGCTCTGGGGTCCCCAACACAAGAAGGACATGGAGCTGTTGGAGCAGGTCCAGAGGAGGCCATGAAGATGATCCGAGGGCTGGAGCACCTCTGCTATGGAGACAGGCTGGGAGAGTTGGAGCTGTTCAGCCTGGGGAAGGCTCCGGGGAGACCTTCCAGCACCTTCCAGTGCCTAAAGGGGCTACAGGAAAGCTGGAGAGGGGCTTTGGACAAGGACGTGTAGTGACAGGACACGGGGCAATGGATCTAAGGAAGAACTTGACTCTGAGGGTGGTGAGGCACTGGCACAGGTTGCCCAGAGAAGCTGTGGCTGCCCCATCCCTGGAAGTGCTCAAGGCCAGGTTGGATGAGGCTTTGGGCAACCTGGTGTAGTGGAGGGTGTCCCTGCCCATGGCAGGGGGGTTGGAACTGGATGGTCTTTGAGGTCCCTTCCAACCCAAACCATTCTATGACGCAGTGGCTCCTTCACTGCTTTGCAGTCCATCTTTTGCCCTTTCCTGGGCACAGCACTGCCTGGTCAAGTGACGATGGAAGGTCACTGAGTGGCAGCTTCTCTTAGCTCCTTTCTGCAGGCTGTTCAGGTGGAGCATCCCCCTCTCCTCACTGGCCTCTCCTGGCACTGGAGGAAGTCGTAGCAATCCTGTGCCATGGACAAAGGGAGTCCTGCAGAAAGATGAAGCAAAAACTAAGAGGGGTTTGAACAGCTACGCAGCAGCTCCTGCCTTCAGCAGCTGGTTGGTGCCCTTCTGTTCCATGAAGGCAGCTATTTTGGTGGCTGCCACAACGACCAGGAGTTGCTACCGAAGGAGTAATCCCACTCCCTCGCTTCTGAGGCAGTGGGATTACTCAGTGCCAAGATCAGTGGTGTTTCCAATCTCTGAGGGTCACAGCAGGCTCCAGGCTCCTACACGTGGTACCAGTCAAACGACAGGAACATCATCCTTGCTTCTGCAGCAACCAGCAGCCCATTCCACCACCATGGGCCAAGGGGTGTTCCATTCCTCTTTCACCCATTCCTACTCCTCCCACTCTCCAGTTGCTCCACTCCTTTTACAAGCAACTGTTTGTAAAAGACTGTGGTTCAGTAGAAGTCCACTTTTCTGGTGGTCTTGCAAGCTCTAGAACCAGTGTCTCGCCATCAGAGGGGGAGGGTTTTTATAGAGGAAACTTGTTAGCACCAGAGAGGAGAGGACAATAACCTATTTGAGCCTGAGAAAACTGGGGCGATTGGGGACTTGTTGTCTGCCAAAGCCTTTTCACTTCACAGTCACTGCCAGGGCATGCCAGAGCAACTATTCCGTCCCGCAGCCCCAGCAAGGATCTGGGACACGGAGCAGCTGCAACTGAGGCACTGAGCACCTGCAGTTTATCCAGGCTTTGCAGGAATTTGCAAGAAAATTTGCAAATTTTCTGCAGTCCCTGAAGTTTTTTTGCTTAGTATGGGACAGAGACGACTCCTTCCCTCTTGCTAACCCCAGATTCGGCTGGACCCAAGGAGGGGACGCATCACTTGAGAGCTCAGAGCCCGTCCATCCCCACGGGGCTCACTCTGCGTGCAAGAGGGCTGGAATTTGGAGCAGTTGCAAGCACATTACTGGCATTTTTCTTGCCAGATGTGGGGGCCACCACATCCAAAGGATGCCAGATCAAGCCGCTGCTACGTTTTGTACGAAAACCAAAGCATCACTGCTTGTGTACTTACCTTTTTTGCTCAGGAAAGAGCTGACTCCTGGAACTGGTGCATTCAACCTGAGATGCAGCTGCCTGCAGCTGTCCTGCCAGGAGCATGCACGCTCTAGCAGGCTGACTCAGCTGCTTCTGCATGGCCGAATGTGACTGGGAAGCACGGAACAACATCCTCTGAGACATCTTGCATGTGGGATGAACACGTGCTCACTTCCCATCCTCCTTCCTCTCTTTCCCACCCCTTTGAAACTCTCACACCGCAAAGAGTGCGGTATCCAGCACACGGAGGGGCTGGCAGTGCACACACATAGAATCAGAGAAGGGTTTGGGTTGGAAGGGACCTCAAAGATCATCTAGTTCCAACCCCCCTGCCATGGGCAGGGACACCCTCCACTACACCAGGTTGCTCAAAGCCTCATCCAACCTGGCCTTGAACACTTCCAGGGATGGGGCAGCCACAGCTTCTCTGGGCTACCTGTTGACATCCCACACAGTTTGTGCCCAGGCACCCCATCTGAATGCCCACGTGACTCTCCAGCAGCCCCCTGTGCTTTGTAGGTTAAAAGGTTGGTGTGAAAGTAACCCTGTTCCCCACAAAAACATCTCGGTGGAGGCCGTTATCCGTTCGCCGGCGTGCCCCAGATAGCTGGCCCAGGCGAGGGGTGATGGAACCACCAGACAGGATCACCAGAGCCTTGCTCTGGAACCAGCACCACCCACGGGTCACAGGTACCAGGCAGAGCTAACATATTGGGATGCCCCCACCTGCGCAAAGCCTCTCCTGCTTCCAGCATCCGTGCTCCAGGCTGAAGCCCCCCACTGACTTTTCATGGATGCAAAACAGTTCGGAAAACTTTCTGACTCCTTGGGTAGGGAAGAAAAGGACCCACAAATCTGCATCTGCAAGTGCAAAATGCTGGGAAGGAAGGGAGGGAGGGAAGGAGGGAAACAAAGACGGGAAAATATCTGAATTGTGACTTTTGTTATCTCTGCAATTTTCTTCTTTTCTTAAAAAAAAAAAAAAAAACAACACCAAAAAAAAAACCCACAAAAGCAGGCAGCAGGACACTACCTGTCAAATTTTGAGGCAATTGCTTTGTGCAACGGTACTGGAGAAGGAAGTTTAAGGTGTCATTAAGCTCACCCAGCACACCCACTACTCGGCCCGTGCTGGGGCACAGCTCCCCCCATCCCTCTCCCCTGATCCATCTCTGTCCTCACCCCCAGGCTGACTCCTGCACCCTGCTCTCCAAACAGTGACCTCATTGCCTTGTTCAACTGGTGAGAAACCACAGTAAAATGGGAGAGGTAAACAAAAGGGGGGGGAGCTAATGGCCAGAAGATTTAGGAGGGAGGAATCTGCTCCTCGCCAGCCCACCTCCATTGTGTGCCTCAGCTTGAGAAAGTGCAAGCTGAGCCTCGACGAGCTCTTTTCTCTGCTGGTTCCTCTGGAAACTCAGCCCAGCCCTCGGGATGGTGATCGGGACAACCGGCCCGCAAGCTATACGCCCGCTATACACCCACGTTCCCGTCACCGCTACAAATCCCGTAGAGTTGGAAGGAATTCTAACTAATTCCAGTGCTGGAACTCGCACACCTCCTGCAGCAAGAGCTCTCCATTCCCAGGCCAGCCAGCTCACCGAGATACAGACAGTAAAAACG